AGGAGCTGGGGTGCAGATAAACACCCATTGAACTTGTTTGTGTTCCCTGGGCTCGGGGAGCGAGTGTCAGCAGAATAATGAAACTTTCACTGGAGGTCTGAGCCGCCGAGTTCAGATGAGGTCACTGTCATTTATGTGAGCATGTGGCTTCCTTCTGAACCATCTGGTGATGACAGGGCGTTGTTGTTTAAATGGTGTCTTGGCATAAAGCAGAGCAGTGAGCATTGTAATTGATAATAAAAACAGTGCAATGTTAAACCATATTTCTTAGCTGGATGTGAAAACTTCCCAGGTTGACTGGAGGCAAAGAGTCACCTCTTTCAAGCCAGCAGAAGAGTATCTTAGTCGAGGAAGCTGGATATTATGACTCTAAAATGAAAGAGGGCTGACTGGCCTAATAGACATGTTTTGGCACTGAAAAGTTCTGCCCTCCATAACCATGGATTACCATGGATTACAACAGTAATGTTTTCTAAAAAACAGTCTTACAGTGCTGAGATTAACAGCTCCAATACTACCAGTTAAAGAACTAAAACAACACCTAAGCGATCTCTTTCTCCTCTGTGCAAAAGATGCAGATAATTTAAATAGAAGAGTAGTTTAAAAAGACTTTCTCAAAGATGTAGCCATGCCTTCTAAATGTGTTTGATTTAATTAGATCAAACCAGAGGAAGCCATGAGAGTGTGGTGGCCAAGGGAAGAACTGTAAGTAAATTCTAAGACTCTTGATTATGTCGTTAGTTTATTAAAATACCTTGCTTTTGGGGCAAGCAGCATCAGTGTCTGTGCTCCCAACTGTCAAAATTCTTCCTTTGGTAGGCTGCACTCTCTCTTCCCCCAATTAGTTACATCTTTCTGCTACCACTGTTAGGTACCTTTAGAGAGGCAAACAGTAATCTAGTATCAAGTCAGCCGATAAATGAATCTTTGATGTTGCTTGTGGGTTGGCCTCAGCATGATATTATTAGATGTATGTTGTTTGAGTTTTGTAATTTTGTTGTGCTTGAATGGTTTGTTTTTAGACTAATGTTTTCTTTTTCTTTCTTGCACAGATAATTCCAGATCCAGCTGGAAAACTGAAGTATTTTGATAAACTAAACTGATGCTTGCTTCTGTTGAATTACATAGGTCACATTCAACTTGATTTTGCCAATAAAATTTCATTAATTTTGTTACTTTCATGAGTTTGACTAATATGTAACTGCAGTAGACCATTAAAGGTCTTGTTGCTTAAACAGGTCTCTAACCTGTGTGAAGCACAGGTACCTCATTACTTATCAGGGAATGTTCTTGTGAAATACACATCTTCCCTGTAAGTCTTGTTTAGATGCTTGGTTTTCCCAAAATTTACTTCTCTTAGCATGACAGGCTTAGATTCATGACTTTTTCTATTGATAGGTTACTTAATTTCTGCAAAAATCTTATTTGCTTGGTGACATTCTAGGATCTACAGCTAGAAAAGGGCCACTTGGTTATGGTACATTAGTCTGTGGTCCAGGAGCAACAGCAGCAAACACAAAAGCCAGAAATAAGTTACAGTTGTTGAGTTACATTTCCAGTCTATCAAAAGCTGGAAAACATTTTTAAGCTACCAAGAACAAACCCTATACTACATAAATCAGTACAACTGCACTGAAAAAAATACAGCTGTGCCAGTTCATGTGGTTCAAGAGCTGAACCAGTAATATTTTTTCAAGCTTGTATTTGTGGTGTAGATGCTGGTTAAGATCAATTCCCTTTCACATGGGCTCAATGTTTTCCCTGTCCCTGTACTGTTAACAGATGTACACAGTGGTTAGTGTCCTGGGCTGATCCACTCATTAACTGTGGCTTCCAGTTTTAAGGGAGTAATTGTCTGTCCCAAGATCGGTATTGACATGTCCAGTGACCATCAGAAACTCTTGTGGCTCATGTGCATTAATTTCTTCTTTCAGGGAAAAAGAACATCTCCACATAAGACACACTTCATACTGCATGCACTGGAGAGCTCTTTCCTAAGAACACCTTTTCTTGCTTCTTGCCACCTCCTTCTCTTTTATAACATGGTGTTGTAGAGGCTGTGCAACTGGAAGAACACCACCTGAAGTCAGTGTCAGCCCTTCACCAGGGTCCTTGCAAAGGCCACAATCCCTGCTCCAATCCAGCACCGCTACGTTACTACTCTTGGTTGGATCCCACACTCGGGAGAACTCACTTCCCCTTCCCTCACTAGGCCATACCATTCCCTTCTCTATACACAGACCCTTCAGTGCTGCTCTGCAGAACTAGACCTGCAGTTGCATTTTCACTGTAAAATTACCTGATTTTCTAGACTGCAGCTCTCCAGATTGGTCACTGCAGACAGAGAGCAGAGACAGCTGCTCACCTTTTGTGTCAGCTCTGATACAAATAACACCTAAGTGCATGCCTAGGACAGAGGGAACCATGGCTGGAGCAAGCAGAACTCCCCCAGGCACCAACCTCCCTGTCCCTGCAAGGCCTGGGGAATGGAGGAGCTCCTGCTCCCATCCAGAGGTAATGGAGGTGCAGCAGGACCAATGCCAAAGGCTGGTAATGTGCTGCTCCAGCCCCTGTGATCTCCAAGACCAGAGGGCAGCATGGAGAGAGGCAGCTTCTCAGATCATTAGGCCATAAAGCAGCTGCTTGTATTTTACTCAGGATTTTGTTTACAGCCTCTACCAGCTCTGAAACACCAAAAACATTAACACAGAGAACGTTCAAATAACTTCAGGCAGGTGCAGCGTGACAAATGCAGGCCCAGCCATTACATGGATATTCATCAGCAGCCCAAGGCACAAAACAAACCTAACACTTGTGCCTGCCTAAGAAATGGTGCTTGTGCCCATTAAGCTCTTCAGAGGCTTTGCCTGCTGCTCCAGGCAGGTCACTCTCATTCACACCTAACAGTCTCCCAACAGCCAAAAAAACCCTCTGTTGCACTGAGCCAGCAAGTGAGACATCATAAAGACAGAGATGAGTTATCACCCACACTGAACGTGCTCCATCCAGCTCACAGCTCCTTGTGGAGTCAGGTAAGCAGTGATTTACAGCAATAAAACCACAGCAACATGAGCATCAAACAAAAGCAGACATTGAAAGCTGTACAAACCCTGAGCCAAGGAAAGAAAATAGGACTGAGAACAGTTACTGACCAAAAAAAACCCTAAGGCCATCTGCACACTTCTTTGAACATTACAGATTTAGGTCCACAGCTATGCTGTGGCCACAGCTTGGCCACAGCTGAGGCCTTGGCACTCAAAACGCACATTACATACTTGAAATTAAAGATTATTTCCATGGAAAGAGAGCATGGAGTTTTACAGAGATTTGAATATGCTGGCAGGGAAGTTTAGGAAGGAAAAGACTGGGCAAAAAAAATGCAAAAGTGCTGGTGTGTGAGGGAGAAAAGTGAGAGTTTGGGGGCGTGGGGAACAAAGGCAGATCCTCAGTTACACACTGCCTCCAGGAAAAAGGGAAACCGAAGGACAGAAGATGAGATCCCTAAGTAGAACAACATTGGAAATTTGACAGGGAGGAAGAAACACTGAAGACTGTGGGTTCGGGGTCATAAAGATTTGCAAATGCGCAAGACAAGTAGCAAGCTGAGGATCTGGCTGCTAAAGCTACTGCCTTTCTCTTGCTCTACTGTGGAGAACTTGGTTTCAGTTGGTTTACCTTTGGATAACAGGTACCATTTAATGGCATTAGCCATTTTTTGTATGACCCTCCATCACATAACAGCCTGATGAGCGGCTCCAAGCAGTACTGAGCTTCCCTGGGTGGTTGTTCTCCCAGCTGTGGGACAGAGTGACAGAAAGCAGGACAAGAAACTAACAGTGCACGAACAAAGCAAATAAAACTTTTGAAATTAAAAGGCACCATTCCAAACTGACATTTCCTAGAAGAATCTTGCTCTTCGACCTTCATACACATACTATATTTACACCTGATAAATGCAGGGAAACAGTAATGAATGGATAACACAGCTTTAAGGATGATGCTGTGATAGCTGCTACAGCGGCACAGGTGGGTGCTTAATTCTTTATATTATTTAATCAGCATGTGGAGGGTTTGAGATCTTCCAGCAAAACTGGAAAAAAAAATCATTTCAAAATCAGAGTCTAGTAGCACCAGTATCTCAGAGAGGATTATCAGGCAGGCAAAGGAGTTTAAAGGTTTGCTTTACCCTTCTGCATTTCGATTAACAGACTGCTGCAATACTCCTTCTAGCTCTGGTCTCAAAGCCTGCCTCTTATATTAAGCACACTTAAAAATATGTCTGAGCTGAAGGACAGTTACTGGGAGACTAAGTAGCACTCGAGCACTTTAGTATCAAATATAGTCTGCAGTTGACAAGATAAAATATAGGTAGTTTCAATCAAAAAGCTGAATTTGATTCTAACTCCTTGGTGACAGTGAAAAGCTTCAGCAGTACAGAAACTCACTCCTCTGCCATGTACATGTCACTAATTCTGGCCTAGTGCTTGGATCAGGGGTTGCCATGGCCTTGCTGGCATACCTGGAAAGGTCTTATTCACAGGTGTAGGAGCAAAATCTTCACATAAGTACAAGCAGGACAAAAATTAAAAACTATATTATTATTTTTTAGGCAACAAATAAAAGTGATTACATCTTCTGAAAGAAAGATGATCCACCAGCAAGCTTCACCAAAGTCCACATTGCACTGGACATCCTTAGCACTGCTTGAAATTCAACCCTTCCAAATCTGAGCCTAAGAACCTGGTTTCCAGCCACTAGTTTGAAGATGCTGACTCACATCACCGCAACCTCCAATGAATCCAGATTGACTGGGGAGTGCCAGCCGCAGGGGTCTCTCACAAAACAGTAACTAACAAACACAACAATGGTCTGATCTTCCAGAACTCTTCACCTGAGGTTTGAAACAGTGGCAGAATTAAATCTCACACAACTCTGTAGCCTTCTCAGAAATGCAGTTTTCCTGACTAGAAAACCAATTTTACCTCTGCAAAACCAGGACATTTCCAAACCCTGGGCCTCTTGTGGAAGTGCATGAAATGCAGATGCACAGGGCTGCCAATGTGAAGTTGACTTTCGAACAGAAAAACCAAAGAGCCTCTGCAAAGAAAGCCATAGCTGGTAATGAGACTCTACCTTCCACTCCCACTGCTGTTTTGGGCAAGCTTCTCCCACATCTCACCGGCTACCTCAGCAGCTATAAAGAAACCTTATACAGTGGTGAGGTCTGCAGGTGAAAACCACCTCTGCAAGCAGAAAGGCTCTAGCTGGGGCAGAACCTTCTGTGACCTCCTCCCTTTTGGAATAGGTACCCCAGCAAGCCTACCTCACTGAACAATACCCGCAGATGCTGCTCCACCACCTCCAGATGCTGAGAAAGTTTTGTCTCCCCAGGCAGCCAGCCCTGCCTCTCCTGCGGTGCAGAGCGCTGGTGCTACTTGTGGTGCTTGTAACAAGAAACTCACTTTTAACAGCATTTAATTCTGGAGATGACCCCCTCATAAGCTCCCCAACACCCTGGTGGACACAGAGGGCCCAGGGGAGTGGTCCCTGCTTCAGGACTGCACCTGAATTTCC